GGGGGGGCATACAACATTTTGCTATGGGGCAAAATGTCCGATGAGGAGAACTCATCCCAATACGACCAGGTGAAGCAGAACTTGTCAACTGTACCCTTAAGGGAACTGGTGAGGTCCTCCATTAGCCTTAATTCATTGATTTTGCTGAACCATTCTTTACATTTTTGTCCAAGTAGTTACAGTCACCATGTTTCTGAGCAGCTCCAACTCTCTCAGCTCAGCTTCCCTATACTTACTGCCCAGTAGACAATCACAAGGGACAAAGTAGTCTGCAGTTATTATCTATTATCATAGAGGAGGAGGAGAGGGTAGCAAGGGGAAGGATAGTGGTTTTCCTTGCTCTGTGCGTTTGTGGAGACACACACAGCTTGCTACACACGAGGGTGGATCCATAGGACCTTTCAAGGGAAAGGAGCCACCGTAAAACAGGATATCAGGGCCAGTGTTCAGGGGACCGGCTGATTCTGAAGGAAACTAAAACTTTTAAACATCAAGGAGCAGCATCTATTGTAAGTGATTTCATCAGCATTTGAAATAGCTTAAAAACCTTTTGACTTTAATATCACTTTAAAGAGTAATTCCACATATGTTGAGAAACAAAAATCAATCCCCTCTGACTGATCTGTGTACATTACAAGGATTTTAACCAACTTTGTTGCAGTCTCCTACCTGTTTCTGATCTGAAAAAAAAAGCTGTTTGTTGCAGCATGTGCAGATTTCTTTTCAATGAGGACACAGGCGACAACAAAACCACATTTTTAGTAGAATGGGAAATAGTTTAAACCTCATCAGAGAAACACCTTTGAGAGGCGCTGGGTTTCTGTGCTCATGCAGTGACACCCACTCCCCTTATTTCTTGTCCTGGTTTGACAGGTATAGAAAGTGAAGGAAAGTCTCCCTAGTGATATTACATGCTGAAATTTAAAAAAGAACGACAAAACTTTGCTCTTCCCCACTCCATCCAAAGCTAAAAGAAAATTGTGTGCACCTTCTTTTTTTGGTGACTTGGGCATAGATTAACAGTGCATGTGTTCCATCTAGTGTTTCGGGCTGCTGGGAGTAAATGGAGCTGGAAAGACTACCACATTCAAGATGCTGACTGGAGATATTGATGTGACATCAGGAGATGCAACTGTGGCTGGATACAGGTAGGTTGAATGAGTAGGTTAATTAAGGGCCGTTGGAGACTAAGTCAGCCCAGGACAAAGATGTTACTGGTGGACCACTGGCCACCACTACAAAATGGAAACCAGATGTCAAAATATGAAGGTTTATAGAGGAATGTGCATAAACTGTTTTATAATGTCATTTAGGGCTAAAACCATATATTTCTGCCACTATAAGGAACTGTGTTGATGGGCTTTCGGCTTGTGTCGATGGCATCAGTTTGCGATCAATTTAAGACGCTTCTGAGATCATTCAGAATTCAAATATGAACTGTAATTGAGCTCCTTCTGACCTGCATTTGACCTGTTTTAAGCAGGTTTTTCATGCCCGTAGAAATGCAAAACCCATTTGAAGTGAACAAAAGCCTCTTGACACAAACACTTAATGTTACCACAAAATATCCACAAAATAGCCCAAACTAAACTCAAGAAACAAGTGTACAGTTTAAACTCCCCTACATAACCTCTCCCCTACATAACCTCTCCCCCTCTCTCATGAC